TTTTACTTCATTATGAAATGAAATGTGCATCATTGTCTTATCAATTTTACAAATGCAAAAATTAAGGATTATTAGCTTAGTATTCTTAAATTATTTCCAAAAAAGTTTACGTCTACTTTGATGGATATTTTTTGTGAATCACTGAGCTTAATTATAGTTGCCTAAAAAGCATGAGTGAGTGTATATTTACCCAAAGATTAGCACTTATTAGTGGATACACAGATGTGCAAGTGAAGGAAATGATATTTGTTGTAATAACTATTAGCTTTCTAAAGACCCTAGAGGGGCTCATGAGACCTTCAACTATGCCTAATTAATGAGGATGGGCCAATCTTGTGAAGGATCTTGCAGGATACACAATTACAAAAATTCAGGCGTGTAATACCCTTGTGGCATATAGAACATACTGTTCTAAAGCATTCATTCCTATCCCCTGGCTATTCAGTTTATTCAATATTGGTCTTTGAGATGTGACATAAGTCTTCATGGTGGTGATATAAATGCACCATATAGGGTTAATCATGACTCACACAAACACATACACACACACACACCACAATTATAAGAAAGGAAGAAAACAAAAGTAATCTATAGATATAATTCAATCCTAAAGACTTTTTAAAATGTTTTAACACAGTGCTTACTTAGAAAACAACTAATCACCAAGAAATTCTCAACTAAAATAGAATAGCAGATGATTATACTCTTAAATACAAAGTATTTCAAAAGGAAAGAGGAACAACAAAGTATTCTGTGTAGTATTTTATTAGTTACTGTGGGTAGCAGTAAAGAAAATGGAAAAAAAGGGGGATGTAGATAAATCATGCTGGTATTTAGTAACAAATATTAGCCTAAGAATGGTTAAATTCATAGATAAAAAGTAAAATGGTAGAAATAAAATCAATGATAAAGAGACATTAAAAGCTAAATTTGGAAGTTTGGTTAAAAGATAGTTGGAAAATAAGGTTTAAGATAAGTGCACAGGCAGTAGTTTACAATGTCATTCAACAAGAGGTTTTGGATTGAAGCCTGGTAATCAGGACATCCTGGATTCTTTGAGAGATATAACTGAATAGAGAATTTTGTAGCAAGGGAGCAAAACATAAAACATTAACACTGGACATGGAGAAGTTCTGTTACCTCATTTATTGAGTGAATAAAGAATAAATTAAATGGGTAACAAGAATGAGATTGAGGCTATCATGAGAGTGGGCCTACTCAAGGTTTGTTTATATAAATAAAGAAGGAAGTTAGACAACATGTATGCTTAGGGAAATGAGAAGAGTATATTATCTCCTCGGGCCCATAAGCTGATTTAAACACAACACAGTTTGTACATGCAATGAAACACTACATAAACATGGACAATTACTATAGTCTCCAAATAAACTAAATAAGTTAAATTTTGAAAGTCATAAACCTATCCTGATTTATATATATATATATATATATATATATATATATATGTATATATATATACATATATATATCAGAAATATGTACAGTGTTAGCTTACAATGCATTAATAAACATTTAAGTAACAATATTGCTGTCAATGCCTCATTACTTTTTTGGGCAAACAGTTGACAAATATCGATATGGTTGACTTTCCTTTCTCAGAAAGTACATGTTTAAGTAATCACCTTTTTTCTGTTTTTAAGAACAATAAAATGTTTCTTAGTCAGAGATTACTGGTATTCGTCTAAAACATTTGGACTATGAAACAGCTAATTTTCAATAAAAGGATAAATGTGTTCATTTATATGTTCTATACCATTTTCCCAATCAATTTTAGATAATATATCAATGTTTCTCTGGAATTTTAAATTTAACACCTCACACAGTATTAATTCACTATTGGTGTTAATTATTTACTACATGTTAAGTAGTTATGTCAGAATTATTGATTCTGGCCATTTTCTCTTAAATGTGAACTTTTTGAATGGAGAGGCGCAATTGCTTTTCTTTAATAAGGGATGTTTTAGAGTCTTTTAGTATGTATCCTTTGGGTCAGTGATGACATGAAAGAGAATGCCTTAGACTCAATGAGTACCTAACTTCATACCATCCTCTAAACCAGTTTACTGAAACTTGAATAACAGGGCTGGTGGATGACTCAAGAGGTGAAAGAGCTTTCTGAGGAGCCTGCCTGTCAGTCAATGAGGGATTCACTACTGAGGGAGTGAGGATGATTATAGGAAAGGCAGAAAGCAGATGTAGAAGACAGATATGGGAGGGCTGCTGGTGAATACCATGCCAGAAAGTAAGTGTATTTTCTCAATGTCTTTTAAAGGCAACCAATACAAAGCATGACCAATTCTGGGAATATAAATAATGACCATAAATGCTTATGTGACAAGTTTATGGTACACAACATCTGTTTGACTATGGCCATTTTCTTCAGGGTAGGATAGTCTCTCAAGGACATATGTGTAAGTGGAGGAACTTGGCAGGGTATAACACATGTTTTAATTAAAAACAAAAACGGATATTTGACAGAGTCATTCATGATTAATCATAAGCATGATGTCAGCAAAATTTCACTCTGGAAGTGCTCCCCACATCTCTCTCTTTTTAATCTTCATAAATCAAAGCTGTCTTAGCTATTGGTGCAGAAAGACTGTGCCTATCTTAGGAGTCCCTTCAAAACGTATGGACCTTACCTGTCATTGGTACATGAATCCTAGCATTCATGCCCTGTCTTAGATTGATTCACTTCTGAGAGAATTTCACCTATCTCTTTTACCTATAAGAGGCACTTTATCAGTCACACAGCAGAAAGTTGTGCCTGTCTTAAGTTGCCATCCAAAAGAGCTCTTATCCATCATTGGCACATGATGCCAATGGTTGAGAAGGTTTTCAAGATAATCTTACCCATCATTGAATAACAACTTCTGCTAAGGAAGACATTGTAGCTTGAATTTATGTAACTCTGTTTTGATATCTGAGAAATCTCTGATGATTTCACTCAAAAGAACATGTAATAGACATGCTATAAAGTGCTTGCTCATGGGAGCGTGATATGGCTGCTTCCTGAGAGGCTCAGCTAGAGCCTGACAAATACAGAGGTGGGTGCTAGCAGCCAACCATTGGACTTATCACGACCTCCCTGATGGAGGAGTTGGAGAAGGGACTAAGGGAGCTGAGGTAGATTGCAGCCCCATGGGGTAAGCAACAGTATCAACCTGCCAGAACCCTCAGAGTTCCTGGGGACTGGACCACCAACTGAAGAATACACATGGAGGAACCCATGGCTCCAGCTGTATATGACACAGAGGATGGCCTTTTAGATATCAGTGAAAAGATTGGTCCTTGGGTGTGATGAAGTTCAAAGCCCCAATGTATGAGAATGCCAGAGCTGGAAGGTAACAGTGGGTAGGTGAGTGAGGAAGCATCCTCATAGAGGCAGGGGAAGAGAGGGATACGAAAGGAAGTTTCCAGAGGGAAGACCTGGAAAGAGGATAACATTTGAAATGTAAATAAAAAAATATCCAATAAAAGACAGAACAACAACAAAAGGCTTGTAAAGCCAAGTCCTGCTATGCCAAATAAGAGAAATGTAAATAAAGACCATGAAGGAAAAATGGCCTGTAACTTTTTCAGAATATCATTTGTATTGCTAACAGCATCAAAAATAAAAAAAAAATAAGACTTTGTATTTCTTAAACTTACAGCCTCCTTATGCATGGCAAACAAATCTAAAGAAGCATTAGCATTATGAGTATCTTAAAGGTGTATTTTTATTTTGGTAAAATTATGCTGACTCTTTATACATTTTTGGAGTTATACAAATCCATAGATATCAAGCATGACATTTCAAATTGCTTCTGACTTTATTCCTTGTACCTCATCTCCCATGATCTGCACTATATCATATAATGTATCAATTCTTTGTTCTAGCAGTCTATTCAAATCCCATTGTATGCTGAGAGCATTGGTCACATTTCCAGCAGAATGATTAACAAAATTAGGTGTTTGGTATCTCTTATGTAAAAGCTAATGCAGAAATAGTAGCACTGGCTCTAAGTATTATGAAAGCAACAACACCCTCAATGATCAGCCCAAGCATACTTTTGCTCCTTGTCAGAACATGATCAAATTCTTCCAATGTTTGTAAGCCCTTTTCAGGATACCAGTGTTCAGACAAATTTACAGGAATCATAATAAAAGCTGGTTGATATTCAACTATTACAGACCATCATATAGTGCAGAAACACAATTGGAGAAAAAACAATTACACCAAAAATCATTGAACCATTACATTTAATGTATAATTTATTTTTAATATGGAATGAACAGAAGGCTGTTTTGAGGGCAAGAGCCTAATCAATCATACCAACTTATGTGAAATGTCTACATTTTATAGTCCTAAAAAGCATTTATTATCAAAAGCTATCACCAATGTGGTTCACTGAGGCAAGGTCCATCACAAAGCAGCTATAAAATTTGGCCACATCATCTACATGGTGCTTGTTTTTGTGGTGTATAGAATGTAAGACTAAAGAGATTATGGATTATTACTTCTTGGCTTTAGAATGTCATGGCTGCTAGGCAGTATGAAGCACTAGACTTCAGGAATGCACGTCTAGAATAGGCAGGAGAATCAGAAGATATATTCCATGAAGTAGTGAGAGTAAAACAAGGTGTTTAGTGACTATTCCAAGATATTGGAGATGCTATGGCCATAAGATATGTGCAGAGGTGTGGTCCATATAGAGAGTGGAGTCAGCACACAGAAAGGTACATATTGCAGGCAGCACAACTGAAAATAAAAAGGCATCTAAGTCTTTGAAATTAAAGTCCCAAAAGTTGCACATGGATTTAAAGGAGTTGACAATTTCCTGCTGGGTTTTAATCTTGTTGTGGTCCAGTATCTTCTCACTATACCCCAATTTCTGCCTTTTGAAATGTTAATGTATGTTATGTACCATAGTTATATTAAAAGTTTTTATTATTTGTTTTTATTTTTCTGGTGTTACAATAAAAAAACTTTGCTGATTGCTTGCCTTGCCAATATAAGTACTAAAATTGGAACAACACAGAGAAGAATGTCCTGACTCTTGTGCAAGAATAATACACAAATTTATGAGTCATTTGCTAATTTTAAGTAACAATTTATATCAATCACATTCCAGTATAGGCCCCATTCTCATGTGTAGGTTGCCAACATAAACGAAATTTAATATGATTTTTGTTCCTGGTGGTATAATTTGTTTGTTTTGTTGGTGTGTGTGTGTGTGTGTGTGTGTATTTGTACATGATCTATTTGTTTATTTGGTTTAGTTTTGTTTGTTTTTTGTTTGTTTACTTTAAATTTTTTCTGAGACAGAAATAATATAATGTTAGGTATGTAGGGAGATAGGGAGAATCTTGCCTGACTCTGGTGAAATCAAATAACACTTAATAAAATATTTGTGTGACAACAACCAGCAAGAGGAAATTTCCTTATCTCAGAAGAGACCTAACTTTGAAAGAATCTGGGAACATTTGGAATTGTTCAAAATGAATTTTGGATTATGTTATTGCCTAGAATATAAAGAGTAAGGGGCAGAATGTGGTGGATTAGAAAAGACATGTCCCTTATTGGTTCCAAAATTTGAAAATTTTATTATCAATTGATGGTACTGTTTAGAGCGATTTAAGGAGTACATCATTGCTGGAGAAAGTGTATCACTGGGAGTGGCCTTTGAGATTTATACAGCCTAACCCTATGTCTAGTTTGACACCTTCTTTGGTGGTTACTGTTAAACATTTGATCTCCCAGGTTTCCATTAATACTGTCAGGACTGTCAAATGTTGCCTTTTCTTTCTCCTAAAATTTGTTCTTATCCACCTGGAATATGAGCCAAAATAAACTCTCTCTTCCTCACATTGACTTTGATTCTGCTGCTTTATCAGAGCAACAGAAAATTAATGAATAGATACCTGCAAATACATGTGTGCATGTAGTCAAGCAGCAAAGACTTTAATCAAGATAAAAACTACATTTTTATATATATATTTTTAGTAGTTGAAAATTTCCAGGGTATTCCTAAGCAATATAAGTTCGTTAAGAATAAAAATGTCATCTCTTGTGTAGGATAATTTGTGTTTGTATAGTGGCTTTAGATATTGTCCTCTGAAAATTAAGTTCTATTAAATAAATATTTGAATTTCAAGTACCCAGTCTGTTAGTATGGATCGAGAGAGGAGTAATATAGTCTGATTGTAAACCCCTTGAAGAAATGGTAGAAGTTCTGCATCACATATATGGAAGCCTGATAGCCAAGACAAAGATGACAAAATGAGTTATTGAGTCATAATTCAAAGATGGTAAATGATAGAATAAACAATGAATACATAAATGATAAATATATGGGAAAGTCAGCTACTTTGCTATGCCTGCAGAAATAGTATAAGTTATTTTTTCTATTTTTTTCAATTCTACTATATGAAATTCTCCTTCTTAATGAAATAATTACTTATCAGCCTTTTCTGTGGGGATACTTTGCTCTCAAAACCAGCAACAAATCAAGTTTGAGGAAGAAAAGGATCTGGAAATAAACTTTCCTTGGCGGATTTGGAAAGCATATTTTCTCCTTTTTCATAGCAACAAGTACATACACTATGTTTGTGGGATGTTACAAACAACTCATGTATGTATTGTCATAACATGAACATTAATAAGATTTCTTTATAGACATGCCATAAGAATCATCAGGAAAGGAAACCCAAAGATTTTACAAACCCTTTACAGCTAAACACTTGGCTTTAGGGATAATTTGAGAATAGAAATATTAAAAATAAAAGTGCCAAGGTCAAGACAACCTACAATAAAGAAGCAATAATAATATTTTGAGAAGTCATTTTAATTGACAAACACTGGTTATATGTAACATGTAAATGTATTTTGAAACAGGATCCATTGTAAATGGTTCAGTCAAACTAAGTAACAAATCCATCTTCTCACACTTGCTTTTTTGTTGTTGTAGGAACACTTAAAATCAATTTCATTGACTTTCCAAAAAGGAATGGTAGTTAGAAGAGGTAGTAATGGTTAAGTTAGAGTGATGAAATCTCACAAATCAAAGTGATCACAGAATTTATAGTCAGACATCTGTAATTGAATGATTCTATACAACTGAAATAAGCCTTTTTTTTAATAGTTCAATGTCTTAACAAAAAAGAGATGCTGTCACTGTACAAACTAAAAAGCTAAAAAGGAGTATAGCATGGTATGGCAATTCTATTTATTAAAGGCAAGAATATTTTAAGTTTACAATCTATGGTGCTTATCAACCAATTCTTGGATTTCAACATGTGAAAATCATTTCAGTAATTAGTCAAGCAGTCTCTAATTACATTTTATTCGAATGATGTTATACATTTTAGTTCAATAGCAATTGAATACTACTACTAATAATACTAATAATCAGATGGTCAAGTACTTTACAAATAATCTAAATCTGTACTCCATACATTGTTCTTCAGTAAGTTATATTTAAAGCATATTCTTACAATCAAGAAAATAACAAAATTTATCATTAAAACTTAAATGTTGAATACAACAAATTAAAATTTTGTTCTAAATTTTGAAAACCTTGTTATGTTTCCAAAAAAAGAAACAGTTACACATCTTCTATATTTGGATATTTTCATAGTTTGAACCATCACAAAATTAAAGAAGCACTTATTAGTACAATGCCAATACATCCAAAATGATAATGGTAATATTATTTCAAAAATATTCAAATTTACCTTGGGAATGATTTGAAAATTGGAACTCATGAATGATAAATAAGGAAACTGAATAATACTGGGGAAGAGTGTCTGAGAAATAGCAAGGTTTTCAGGTTTGGTTGAGTTCTTTTGAGAACATTCAAGAACTAATGAGAGACTGAGTGCCATTAATAAGGAGCTGAGTATGAGCCAGAGGGCCTCTTTGGTAGCTCATGAAAAGGTCATTATCTCCTACAATAGATGAGTGGATATAGTTAATATAGTAGATTTAAATTTTGATGACATCTCATATTCTAAATGCATTTGATTATTCATCTAAAACAGATCTGAGATGCTTGAGGGCCCTTAGTGAGAAAATCTAGGCCTCTTACTCACACAACACACCATTTCTGTAAAGAATGGTGAGAATGTTGGCTCTGCTGGTTACTCTGGACACAGATACATGGGATGGTCTTTGGCCTGGGCTAAGGGTTAAAAGTGTGGTGAAAACCCAGAGAAGCCTTTCTCTTTGTGTAAAACAGTACATTCCATCCACATAATCTTGGATCTTAAAATAAAATGTCATAAGACAGAAGAGTTATCTAGCTGGAAATGTGTGAGGTCTGCTTGAGGAAAAGGGAGATTACAGTGCAAATGAGCCGCAGTAATGAATCTGTGTATGTGCAGAAGACAGAATCGAAATGAAAGGATTACAGTGAGTGTTCTTAATGAAGAGGGCCAGCTCTAAAATTTGTCTGTCTTAGAGGCTCATCTCAAGTCAGGGAATTTGCTGTGTTAATAGATGTCAAGAAAAATTATTCCAAGAGATAAAATAGGAGGACAATCAGCACGAATGCTGTGTGTCATATACAATTAAAAATTATATGAGTAAAGAAAAAAAAGAGAGAGCTTTATGTAGCACATGGGGATGGAGCATAATTAGAGTAACTATTTCTTTTTTATTGGATATTTTATTTATTTACATTTCAAATGTTATCCCCTTTCCCAGTTTCCCTGCTGGAACCTTCCTATCCCAGCATTCCTCCTCCTGCTTCTATGAAGGTGTTCACCCCCCACTACTGCCTCCTCACCCTGGCATTCCCCTACATTGGGGCATAGAGCCTTCACAAGACCATGGGGCTCTTCTCTCATTGATGTCTGTCAAAGTCATTCCTTGCTACATATGCAGCTGGAGCACTGAGTCCCTCCTTGTGTACTCTTTGGTTGGTGGTTTAGTTCCTGGGAGCTCTGAGGCATCTGTTTGGTTGATATTGTTGATCTTCCTATGGGTTGCAAATCCCTTCAGCTTCTTCATTCCTTTCTTATTTGCTTAAGTGTAAACAAATGCTTGAGTGTACACACATTGATGTGGATATCTGGAAGGGATTATAGGAGTGTTTGGAGAAAAAAGGAGAGATGTGATTATATTTTATTTGAAAATAAAATAAATTTACAAAAAAAAAGCCACACTTACGTGTTGGCTATTCTTACTGTCTCACCTCCAGCTTCTTAATTAAAACAGCCAAAAGCTGAAAATATTTACTTAAAATAATATTTTAAATAAAATATAAAACAATCTCTATCCTACTTAATAGTGAAAACACTGAAAAATTGTTCATTTTTCAAACCCTTTTTAAACTTCATAAACTATAATAGAGTTGTCATTTGATTAAGAAAAGATTATCTTTAAGAATATGATAGCACACTATTTTCATAGTGTATACTACATAAATGGAAAATAGAATATTACCCCTATTTAAGACATTTTTCCTAATTTCTATTTTCCCAGAACCCTTCTAGGAACACTTAAAAAGATGTTACGATGGTCTATAAAGTACTTATACTTATAAAACACAAAACCACCACTTTATGGGATCATTATGAAAGGGTCGCAGGGTATTGTAAGAGCTAGAGAAACAGAATGTTTGCTTTGATTTTTTTCTCCTAGCAATGTCAGAAACTATAAAATCTGCTCAACTAAACATTGCAACATGATCCCAAGAAAGACAGTGGTAATAGACATGCTACGTGTTATCCATGTCTGATAGATATAGATGGGAAGACTAGGAGGAACAAACCTTACACAAAGGCCTATAGGAACTGAAGGAATGCCAAGAGGTAGAACTAGTCTTCTCCATGGAGTGGAATACCAATTGGTAATCCAAAACTTAATGGTCAGACCTCTGTGTGTGTGTGTGTGTGTGTGTGTGTGTGTGTGTGTGTGTATGACAAGATATAAATGAAAAAAAGGGACGAAATTTAAAAGATATTAAGGAGGGTATATAGAACTTAAAGGGAGGAAAGAAAATGAGGAAAAAAGTTATTGAAGAAATAATTAAAAATAAAACCATAAAATATCAGTTGACATATGAACTTCTTTCCTCATTTGTGTATGACAGATTTAGAA